TCTAAGCTTCCCCTTCTTCCTCACCAGTATCAAAACCACTTTCTTGAGTCATACATTTTCTACTCTAAACCCAATCTATGACTGGATCTAGATTACCACACAGTTTAAGAACTGTAAGTACAATTCACAAGAAATCTCTAAAGATATTGTTATCAGGGTAAAGTACTGCAGTTTATGGTTATTGTTTGGTTCAATCACAATCTTAGGAGTTTAATGCTATATTTCAGTAGGATACTCAAGATTAGGCTTAAAATTGCCAGTGAATTCCATATAGACCACATTAGCTTTTGGACACATTTTTCTACATGATTTATGTTTGTGGGTTTATAACTTTGTTGGTAACAGGATATCTAATAACAAGTGAGTCACACAATAGAATGTAAAGAAAAATACTGACAATATTGCAATTAATCTCTTTAATTATTACTATGGTCCCCTTTATATCTTACATAGAAAATGAGTGATTTCACTAAAACTGTTTTTTTGGTCAATTCTTCACATGAAGTTTTGCATCAAGAAGAAAACAAAATGAATTAATATGATGTAATATGTAGATTCAATCAGTTGTGAATGTTATAAAAAATAAATTAGTAATTTGAAGGTTAATATTGAGATACTTATCATATCTGATAAAATTAACAGTCGAAGGCTGTTAATTTGAAAACTGGACAATGAAAAGTGGTAAAAAGTGCTTAATAGTATAGTACTGGTGAACAGTCATTTCTAAATACACATATGCAATCTTCATAAATATGAACTTCATGATGAAATTTAATTATTTATCCAGTTCATTAACATAGTATATTGTGTTACCGAACAGATAAAAGGATTGTGAACTCATACTGTATGGCATAATAAATGGAGAAAATATATTGTAGACTATTATCAATCCATTTTTAAATATTTGGCCTTTTATGCATGCATCTTAAACATACTGTTGTTTAATATTTGTTCATATTACCTAGCTCTATTTTTATCTAAACAATCATGAGATCTGTTATTCAGACATTACACAAGTAGTCAATTTCTTATTATTTCTAAACTTAAATATAGTGATATTATAAAATAAAAGACCTCAATGCTTAATGTCTTACAATTGTAACAACTTCATATTCAATGTATGAACAAAAAACAAATGGTTCACTCTGAACTAGCCACCAGGTGTCATTTATTAATCTCTACATTGAAGCAGAGCCATACTTAAATAGTTGATTTACTAATATGGAAATGAAAGACACTTTAAGCTCAACAAATACTAAGACTGTACATAAGAATATTTTAAACACGTGCTGGACTCTTTAGCCTGCCTGTTGTGTATTAGATTAAAAAAAAAAAATTTCACCAGTTAACATTTTTTTAAATTGAAAATGTATTTCCAATAATACTTACCTCCTCTCACACTACAGCTATTACTCAACTACTAGAGTTTCTTTACCTTCACCCATCTAAGTATTGGTCTGATTTTCTCTTGCTTACTCCAGTCTTTTACTACCCACTTAATTGTACTTTGTGATATTTATCCCGTGACACTATCCACCTATGACTGATAAAGTGGAGGGGCCAGTGAGGGCATTATCCATACAAAATGCATCCGCACAGATTGTGATCATGCCAACAGAGCATTAGCACCCTAGTGGGAGAACCACACTACATCCAAAACAGGTATGCTCTTCACCCGGAACCTAAATCATGCACTGCAGGTGGAATTTGACATGATCCATCATCACCATTGGCCAGACCCTAACAAGGTAGCTAAAGTCCTACTGCTCGGGATTGGAATTATAGGATCATGGCCCCTAAATCCCACATTGGTAGCTAGGACATTTGAACTGCAAGAGATATAGTTGTGAGTAGATCCCAAGCTGTAGCTACAGAGTGATGCATTCCAAGCCACCAGAATTATGACAAAAATGTAAGCAACACTGAAATGGACAGACCTTCTCTTTAACCTGAAGAAGTCCGAAAAGCAACACCCCATACTCGGAATGATGAGATCCTGTCTGCTATACTCCGCCTGAGGAAACATAGCTCATCTGGTCTGGAATTATGAACAGTAATTCTCTTCCCAACTGTATGGGCAAGAAAAATTCCACTTGCCCCCGTAATTATGGGAAGAATGTGGATAAGACCATTCAGTATTACAAGGAGACAATGGACCCTCTTCCATGAATAATGTACTAAACCAATATTGATAAAAAGAAGGACCATGCTCCACCCAACCGGATAACTAAGCATCAAATCTGAACCGGTATTACGAGTAGGCTCCTGTGTAGACTGATGCTGCTCTTACCAATATCTGGGAAAAAACATCCAAAGTCCTGGGTAAGAGGGCCCCCAACTTTGCCCTCTTCTCCAAAAGTGGAGAAAAGTCACTCAGACACTCTGATGGAATATCCTCTGTTCACCATCTCAGTGACTGGAAACCAGGAGTGGGAAGGACTCCTTAGCTCCACAAGTATAATACAGGGGAGGGGAAGGGTTAATGCACGTTGGGGAGTCCTGAGGAACAATACTCTGGAAACAGTGCAATGGGTGAACCAAGTTCTCTAAATTTTTAAAAGCAAACTGACCCTGATTTATTCAATCCACTGATCAGCAGGGACAGACAGGATCCCCTTATGCTTTACTCGTGATAGTCCTGAGTGGCAGTCCAGCATAGTACTGTAATACCACCCAGTCTGCTTCTAAATGATGTTATGGAACACCTCATCTTTACAGAGCCTGTTGCAACATAGATAAAGTATACTGTGTTGGTGGTTGCTAGTGAATATTTGTTTTGATAAAAGCACACCTGACTGGGCAACACTCACCACAGAGAAATCCTGCTTTGGTTGCTCTGAAAAGCAATATCTGGTTGTGACATTCCACCACCTGATGAGATGGTGCCAGCAGTAGCCAGACTTCCGTGAAATGGTGTGAGCATGGTCCCAGGGAATGGAAGTGATGAGAAATGGTTCGTACTATTCGGGAGGAAACATATGGAGCTGATGCTAGTCCGGAGGGCAGAGCCTTGAACTGCAGCACCATATTACTTGTGCACAAAATGCAGATAAAGGTGTAACAACTCTGCTAAGGGAACATGCAGATAGGCACTGGTTAAATCGAACTTGGTCATCCACAGTCCTGGCAAAAAATACCAATGCAGAGTGAGGAATGACTCCATCGTGAACTTTGGAGGGTCTAGGAATTGATTTAGACGAGAAAATCGATGACCGAACTACAATCTCCTGTTTTGTTGGGCACAATAAATAGACGAGAGTAAAACCCATGAAGAACAGGAATGACTCACCCCCAACGACCAACAAATCTCTGATAGCAGTGGAATAAAGTTCCAAAATCTGTGGATCTACGGGAGGCAGAAACACTACAGGTTGGTGGGATAAGGGTGATGTTGATATGAATGGCTAATCCAGACACAAGGACCTGTAGTATCCACAAATCCATGGTAAAGGACAGACCCCCAGACCTCAAATGCATATGGTGGTCATTACTGCTACTGGTGGTATTCTGACCAAGCAGAGGAACCTTGTGGATATGGGTGGAATCTATTCTAGGTATCCATTGACCAAGGGGCTTATGTTGGGGTGGGGACACTTGATTGGGGTGTAACTATGCCTACCCTGTAGGAGCTGAGGAAAGTTGAAGAAAAGGGCAGCAGGTAGAGAAATGTCCTCCAACAATTCATCTGTATCCAACAAATCCCAACACCATACAAGCCAAGAGACTATGAAAAGTGCAGAATCTGACAATCAAACCAAGGTGTATGCTAACAATGGTCCAACTTGTCATCAAAGTGATGTGGTGATTGCCGAGATGCTTCCTCAAAAAAATCGGAAGGATGATAAATATCTCATCACCATAGTTAGGGTCATATGAATCCTAGAAAATTGTGATCTATTCAGGTTGATCATAGACTCCTTTCTAGAACCCCACATTTCAAGGAGTGGGTCTATTCATTGAGAGTCTAAATATGCTTCCACCTGGTGGTGGTAGGTGAAAGCATGTTGTTCTGGCAAACATGTTGGACAAGGCATAACTGTCCCTTTACATAACTGAGTAGTAAACCTCCGTGCATGAACCACAATTATCAGAAGATGGAGGGAGAACTAAGTACTTGCCCTCAGACCTATCTACCCTCAAGGAAGGTGCAGGCTCAAAAGCATTTGGGGAAAGACCTAAAACATCACACACTCAATGTACCAATAGAAGAAAAGGAGCAAGAGGTGGCTAATCCAAACTGGCCTCATGAGAAGCCAACAGAGAAAAGATAGGTGCTGTAAAAAGCAAATCTAAATTCTCTCCAGAATATCCATTGATTGCCCACAAGTGCAGCCTCAGAGCCCCCCCCAGAGAAACATCCCTGGACCATCTCACTATGGATAAGGTCATGGATAGCCTCAATCAAGAGCCACCCCATTCCTGATTTGTGAGAAATGCTAGATATTATAGGTGGGATGGGAGAGACTTGATTTGCCTCCATGTTTTAGTTTTACGAAAATCAAATAGGTAATACAAAGGAAACTCAAAGTATTTCCAGTGGTTGTACTACAGAGAAACTGGTGTGTCAACACTTTGTCAAAAAAAACGTGACAATATTATCTGAATGATATGCTTATATACAGTACTATGATAGAGAGCTCATTGACATAAGTGGAGAGCATCACGAGACAGATATTGACAAGGGCAATTATGTGGGGAATAAAAGACTGAAGTAAGCAAGAAAAAAATCAGACCAATGCTTAGATGGGCAAAGGTAAAGAAGCTCTAGTAGTCGAGTAATAGTTATAGTGTGAGAAGATGTAAATATATTTTGGAATAGAAGTTAATTACAGATATTGGAATAAATAAACCATAAAAAATATGTTTTAGAGTACACTAATTTCAAAAATTGGAGAATACGCTTAAAAAGGTTGTTTGGTTAAAACATTCCTTATTTTTTTCTCCCTCGGCAATTCCAAACATTTATGTTTTCAGGTTTTATCATACTATAGCTATGTCTGTTTTATACTTATCTATATTAAGAATTACTATCAGCTAAATCTTGAATAACTTGGTGTTTAATAGAGAAAGATGTGTATTCCTGCAAAATAAGTCAATGTAGGAGACTGTATTCTATAAATTTACTTTATCATATGCAAATGTGGAAAGGGCTTAAAACATTTTCAGACTTTAACCAAGTCACAAATCATTGCCAACATTGTAATATGAAAAACTAGTTTTCTTCCTCAATGATATGTATACCAAGAAAAGATTTACGTTTCATTTGATAGAAGTGATGTTTCAGAAATAAAGTCAGTTTTGTGTTACTCACTTCACTACACCCACTCAATACAAGTTAAGCCTCTGATAATGAACTCTGGCTTATACAGTCTAATGTGAAAGAAATGTTTGCAAGAGTGAAATACAAAGCACAGATATATCAAATTATGCACTTTCCATGGAAGGGATTTTTTACTTTCAGAGCTATAAAATGCATACCAATATATATAATGTATATTTCAAACATAAGGGAAAGTGGGTTAGTTGGAACGCAGAGCAAGTTGAAACATTTAAATGTGCTGACACAGCAAGAGTTAATTCTAAATGTTACCACCTACAGGTATACAATAACAGCTTCATTCCACCATATTGTTTTCTTGCATGTGGACACAAAACTGTTCAAAGGAGAAAGGTTTGTACATTTTCTGACACAATCAGTAAATTTTGTTTCATAAGGAAATGTTGTATTATCTTAATTATGTTAACAGATTAAGGTCACTAGTTTCTGGGTATTTTACACTCTAGCACTAAGCCACAAAATAAGGCCAACTGGAGCTGTTATGATAGACACTATTTTGTGTAGTATATGTACAACTGTCACATTTGCTCAAGGCCAAAACAGTTTAGTTTTGTTGTTTTGTAAACATTGAATGGTCATGTGATAGTTTATCTGGGGTAAATGGCTAATGAATATTTTCAGTCATAATTTGGTTAATGTATTTTTGTTCCTATTGGCTACTGTTAAGTATTCAGAGATGCCATCCAAAATATTCCTTCATGTCCAAAACACCAAGAGACACATTAAAAATAACACCTGTTCTGACCAGTCCCAATACAGTTCGAACACTGTAATTAAAATAACCATAAAAATACTCTTTATTCATAGTGTACTTAAACACATACAAGTTCAATAGATAATTTACCCATTGTCGTGTATTATTGTATCTTACCAATTGAAGCTTAATTAGGGATCTTTTTTTATAGGTCTGACTGCATCTCTTTGGAACCAGTCTGAACTAGAAGTGATATTTTGGATGGCATCCCTTAGAAGCTCTTTTTTTTGCATTTCGTGCTATATAAATGTGTATATATTATTATTATTATTAGGCCTATTATTAAAACTACCATTTCTATTTTTTTTTAGCAATTGAGATACAAAATAATAAGTGAAAGACGAACCATGCACAGACCCCATCGGGTATCACAAAAATCACAGTAAGGGAAGTCCTGGTGAATCATAGAAAATGTAGTGCAGTAGCAAGCGAGTTTGATATACCTCACCTTTCGAAGAAACGTCTTTAAGGCGCACGGCAACCAGAATTGTCCCAACAACCAGGATAGGCCTAACATTTTCGTGAATAACGTAGATGGTCCCAATAACCAGGAAAACGTCCCCAAGGATAACATAACCATGCCACGTGTCGGATATTTTAACAATCGTGCTGTGTTAAAGGAAGCCTTGCTTATTGATTACCTCAAAAAGGCTGTTGCATTATACTATGGCCTATGCACAACTCAAGTCATATGCCTATGTGTATCCCAATAAACTTGGGAAAAATGTCAACAACATGAACTGAGAATCAGAAGGCAGGTAAAGACTGACTGTATGTGTTCCTGAGGAGGAACACTACAATTACAATGAGAACTCCAGAAGCAATATCTCCGAGTCGTTCCACTTGCTTCAATAGGCACAATGTTAACACCTTTTTCAAAAACTTGCAGTTGGTACTTGAGAGAGAAGGGTTCATTCCAGCAAAAATCTAATCACCCAAATGTAACAGATATTTTTTTCACACCTGTTACTAAACCTGAATTGTGTACTTCATTATTACAACTGGTTAACTGCTCTTACAATCACTAACTACTAGTGTAACTGGAGAACTTTCCAAACCACTGACTCAGAGTAACTGAATACCTACTTTTAGAATCAATGGTTACTGATGTAACAACAGCTTTTGGATTTACTAACTTAAGTGTAACTGTATAGCTACTTTTAGAATCACAATGTAACCAGAATGTAACTGATTAAACACTTTTTTGATTATTCAGTAAGATAACTAAAGGAAGAACTTCATGCATTCCATTGTTAAATGTGGAACAGGTTTTAGCCTTTTTATGTAGTCAGGTTACTTGATTTTTGTTCTAGCATCATGGCTGCTGATTGTGTTTTTATGATAAAGTTTTGAAACAGACTCAGACAATACTTGTGTTTTTCAAATCAATGTAAAAATGTGCTTGCTAATCAAAACAAATAATTATTGTAATCTTTATCATATTTACCCTCCTTTTGATTACATATTTCATTCAAGATTGTATTTATTGAATTTGCCAGTAATGCAGTAGAGGCTTTCACTTACTTCAAATATTAAAATGCAGAGAATCTAAGGTACCTGTAGGATACCAGCGCATTGGAACAGTTTGGAAATGCTTACCTAAATAGAAAAATATGTTCTAGGGCACTTTTCCAAATTAAACTGTCCAGGTCTGTTCAGTCTCACAAAATTACACCTCAAAATGTAACTGTATAGCAACTTTTAGAAATAGTGACTATTGATGTCACTGCATGACTACTCTTAGAAACACTGGATTTATGATGTATCTAAATAAATAATTTACTAAGATGTAACTGCTTATCTATTTTTAGAATCACTTAATATATATAGCTGTTCAACTGATTTTTAGAATCACTATCTAATATGTAATTACATAATCACTCTGAGGATTAATATTTCATTTATAATAGTATAACTACTCTTAGAATCACTAAGAAATATAGGTAACTGATTAAAAAATGATCTGCAACCAAAACTTATTCTGAGGTCAAGAATGGAGTGAGTTCATGTAGTAAATAAAGTAGTTTGAATATGCTTAGTTCAATATGTTTAAAGAAGTCTTCTTGTATTATCTTAATACTTTTTGTATGCACTTTATCATGCTAATGTATCATAATTTTCACTACTGTACTTCATTCACTTGCGAAAACAAACAGAAGAAAACAGTGAAGTTACAAGGTACAGCTCTGAATAATAACAACAGTAATATCAACTTACGTAGATGCAAGCACATGTGCTTAATGAGATTAGGATTTACATCAGAATAATTTCAAGACCAAGAGAAGATACAACAATAACAAAGTTTAAAGTATACAAAAAAAGAAAATACTTAAGTTGGAAAGTTTCATGAATATGTTAGGAATGTATTATAGTTATTAAGTGTTTTTTAATAAATGTATGTTTAAACCAGTAAACATACTGAAGTAGTAAGGTAAGATTTCAATAAAACAGTTAAGTAATCAGATTAGTGCAATCCAATAAGTACAGCCAAAGGTGCTTCAATATACAGAGCAAGTAGTGAGGTCAGAATACTTAAATCAGTACAAAAAGTCAAGTAGTACTTGAAGTTGCACAGTCAAGCAGTAAAGTAAAACAACATTTCATGAAACACATTTCCATAGTCAGATTAATGTTTAAGACAGTAGGATCAGTCAAATAGTAAAGTTAAAGTATTTCAGTCAACACAGTCAGATAGTTGAGTAAGTTTGTAAAAGAAAGATTCTGAGTAATATGAAACTTCTGTCAAAGAGTATCTATTATAAAAGTGATGGTTACCCAATTACCCATGTTGTAAAATAATGCTACATTTAATGATTATTATCAGTAACTTTTAAGAGCATTAATAAATATTATCAACCAGGAAAGAAAAAGCACAAAAAACAAACTTATCTAATCTAATCATTCTTAAGTATATTTGTTGCTTTTCTGCCTTAACAAAACAATACTAGCTACCTTTACATTAAATCAAGTAACACGCATACTGTAAAAAAAGAGAAGGGATATTATTTAACTTTGATATGACTACTGACTACACAATCATGTTAAGTAAGTGCACTTAAAAGTAGACTAGAAATATGCACATTTAAAAATTGAACAACATAAATTGTTGCTCAACCATCACCTACAAAATTTTCACAGTTTGAAGCTTAATAAGAAAACTGTGTAGTTTAATAATTTATCTTAGCATCCTTTTTTCTTGTTACACTTTTAACTCACCTTAAAACTAACACATTTTCATAAATTTATTCTATTCTTGTATTTTTCATCCTGAAAATAAACCCCCAGAAAAAATAAACATAATGGTGAAATTACATGACTGGAACTGCTTAAAAATAAAGTAATAGCTGAAATAAATGGCCACTAATACTAAACTGAATGGCTGAAGGCACTCAAAATATATCAAACATTTAACATTAATCTAAAAACATACCATAACATACAAAAAACATTATATAATGTATCTATTCTGAATCATTATATAAAAATCTTTATAACTTTCAACCTAACCCTAATGTATGATACCCTTTGTATAATCTGTACACTTTTCAATGTTTCAATTCCACAGTAAAACAGTCTTCTATTTCTTTAGATGATTTGCTAAAATATAAAACAGTTATTAGAATGCAAATAGTAACACTTTTAGGGATGTGAATTAATTTTTTTCTAATGAAAATATCTACCAAATCTAATTTGTACATGTTTGGACCTCTGAAATTCCATTGCTATACCTGTGGAAATGACAAAGTGCATATTTATGTTTTGAAGCAAATGTTATGCTACAAAATAGCAACAAAAGATGGGGTTAATCAACAGTTAAAACACAAGCACCAAACTAGTTAAATGTAGGACTAAGAAGGTATAGACAACCTAGTCTTGAGGCGACCTTTTGGTAGTTCAGGTTTGGTCCCAAACCATGACATCTTCCAATTGAGAGTTTCTTTAATAAGTCTTTCTTCTTCTGGATTAAAATGCAGTAGCACTGATACAGCCCTAATGAGATGCTGAGCCTAAATTTGAAAAAAAAACAAGATATATTAGTTAATTCCCATTATATATTTACAAAAAACCAACAAGCTTTAAGTAAAAAAATGTGCTAATTATAAAACTTAGAGCAGGAAAATATGCTTTATATAAAAAACATATCCTCAGAATTTTTTTACTATTTAGAAACAGAAACTTAGATAATCAAATTAATGAAATTTAAAATATCTTGAGAACCTGAATAATACATTCATATGCTAATATTATGTTAATAGTACTAACAAAAGATATAATTATTTTCTTAACAAAATTTTTGTCTTACATTCAAAATTTTATTAAACTACTTTTTGTTTATGTTATACC